CAGGTTCTGTGCCGCCAGAGCCTCCTGCATGTGACGTAGCGTGCAGTGTTGTGCGGTAGGCGAACCTGCACCGCGTGTGAGACGCGATCCCGCCGCTCGAATAAAGCCTGTCCTATCTCCGTGACCATGCAAGGGCGCTGACGTCATCTGCCGTGCCAGATGCGCTGCATGGAGACACATTCAAATACAGTATTGTGCTGCAGATAAAGAGCGGGAGAGTTTTGTGGAAACCGAAAAAACAAAACAAAAAAAAAAAAACACAGCCACCCAAGCCATTCATCCATCACTGGTGGACTGGCGAGGCCTTTAATGCTGGCCTAAAGCACTGTGCCGTTTACAATAAAATTCCAAAAAGTTTTTCGATTAAAAATGTTTATCCCCAACAGCTCTCCCTTCCGTAGCAACATTCGTCCATGCAACAGTGTTTAAAAGTCAGTATCTTTCGAAGAATGTGAGTTGGGTAGCGAAGCAGATCAGGTAATCACAGGGAAGAATAACATTAACGGAGAAACATCACTGTTGATGCAGCTAAATCCCCGCCTTTTGTGGTCGGAGGAAAACATTGAGACCCCATATAAAGTTATTTGATAGTTTTATCCCTCCCACACACTTTAAACACATTTAGATGTATAAAAACACTTTTTAAACACATTGAAAATGTATTTGTGAACATAAAAACACGTCAGCATAAAATGTATGATAAATACTTATTGTACTGTCTGTGTTTAGATGAAGAGGCGAGGCCTGGTGGGATGTGAGCGTGTCTGGGTGTGAGCTGTGGGCAACAGCAGCTCCTGGGTGACTGTGCAAATTGTGTTTTACTGTTCTCTTGGTGTTATCAGTGCACAGCTGAAAGTGCACCGACGACTGTGGTTTTCTTTTTCCACGTTACAGTAAAAGTACTGTATACTATAAAAAAAAAATATTGCTAATGACTGTAGATAAATCCCATAATGTGGATATAACGGGGCTGCAAACAATAAACACGGATATATCATGTAGAGGGGGAACACTGTACTGTATGAATATGTATGCTCTTGAATCTCATATTAAGACATGCCAGACTTATTCAGGTGTTTAGCAGTCAATTTGGGATTGGACCACTGGTGTGTACTCCCCAAAATGTTTTCAACACACAGTACCGCAAAGTCCTGTGTTGCAAGGTAGAAGCAAATGGATCCGCTTTGGTTCAGGCCAGCCAGTTACACATGGATGACCTTGGGTTTATTGCTGAAGTTCAGAGTGCCTTGAACACCGGCGAGCTCCAGCAGCCAGTTAATGGGCATATGGTCCAGATGGTTCATGTCAAAATGGCAGAAATGCACTTGAGAGCCTGACAAAAAAAATGGTGGGATCTTTGAGCATGAATAAGCCCCGTGATGCCTTCTCAAAGTGAGGTATACAAAAGAATCACTGTTTCAGGCAAACCAATCACTGCCTAAATACAGTTACGTTGGATTTAACATTTGAGTTCATTACATTTGCACAAAATCTTGAAGAACTGTTGGATTTTTAAGCATTTACGTTACATTTTTTATTAACTCACGCACAATACATGTTATTTTGCAAACCACTGATCTGCAGTGATACAATAGTCTTTAGAGAGAGGAAATCTGACCTGGTCCAGCAATGATAGCACCGCCTTGCTGATTAAGATCACCCTGGAAGTCGAATACAGGACTCGTCATGGCTCTCCATATACTCCTCATTTGGCCCATTAAGATACCAGACTTCACATGAGGACTCGGTTGGGCTTCACACACACACACACACACACACACACACACACACACACACACACACACACACACACACACACACACACACACGGAACGAATACTCATTTATGGCATTAATGTGGCATTGATCTGTGTTCACTGAGTTTACCTGAGACTGTAAACTTCTCTTCTCGTTTCATCCCGAGCTTGTGGTAAATGAGCCTCTCAGGGTCCACGTAGATCTCATGAGCGTATCCTGTCAGTGAACAGAAAGGCTGGACGAGACATCAAAACCTGACTGGATGTTACATGAAGAGAGTAATCACAAAAAAATAAAAATAAAATAAATAAGAGAGATAAGCAGAGAAGTGCCAACCTGTATGTGAAGATGAGCAGACTGACCAATGACAACTAAACTAACGTCGGCATCCTGCAAGGAAAAAAATATGCAAAAATATTTTGGCTTATTTAGCTAACCGCCACCACACCATATGTTTCTTCATCCATGACTTGGAAGCTATGATGGGCAAAAATATGCCATTTTCAAGCCATGGGACTTCACCTTCTGAAACACTACCAAAGCCAACAGGTAAGCAGAGCTGCATTGAATCTTGTTGGAAGCATTCATCAGTTTACTGTTCATGCAGATAGTTCTGGTCCGATTACCAGTCACTACACTAATACCCAGCCAGTACCAAGCCAGGATAAAAAGTGTATTAAGTGCTGCCTCTATGAGTGAAAATGCTTCTGTCTCTATGGCAGTGCTTCTAACTTATTTTCTGTTATGCTCCCCCTTGGAAGAAGAAAATATTTTGCGCCCTGCAACTCTCCACCGCGACTATGAATAGAATAACTTGTCTATAAAAGTGTTACAAGCACACCGCAACATAACATTATATTCTTATTAACGTTAAAGAAAAGAAAAAAAAGTGGAGACAAACTCCCAACGAAGAATAAATTTGTTAATATTGTTTTTCTGTCTCTAAGAGCAAATTTGAAGTGCATCAAATGGCCTGAACTTAAAAAAAAAGTGTGCACTACTGCCACCCACTGTAGCGTATGTGCAATTGCACCTTATTCTAGAATGGCAAACAAACAAACAAACAAAAACATGCTCCTCAGGGGTTAAGGGCATCACATCGTGCACAATTATTTAAGAAGGACTGCTTTATGGGCACAGGCACAGACATTTTTCCACATTCTGGGCTCTGCAAGGAGAAGCCACTTGCATCGTCACAACACCCTCACACCTGCCTGGTTGGTAACGGGAGATGGAGTCGTCATTGGCCCAACAGGATGTGTACATGCGTATTCAGTCGCTCGCAAGCTAATTTCAACTAGACAAGAAATGTGGTGTGTAAATTCCCGTCGGTGTAGTGTGTTAGCCACGTTACACACTAGAGAATTGTTTTAAGTAGGAAAACGTGCACAATGTTTCATTTACATTATCATTGCATTTTATTAGTACAGTATTAGTATTAGTCGTATTGGTAGTATTTGGCAGTCAGGAGTCAGGACTCACCTCCAGAACCTCTTTGGGTATTTTGCTCAGATCATCCACATAGTCTTTGCAGCTGTAACATAAGAAATTCTGCAGAGACATTTTTGGGAGAGGTTAAACTCCACGACCACAAGACCCCCGGTTACAAACAAAGTGTCATCTTCGTGTGCATTCATAATGACCCCCCGCCCCCACCCCGGTGTCCTTTACATTTTAAGATATCTCAGCATAAAGCCCCAAGGTCACGTTGTGCTACTTTCAAAGGCTTGTTTAAAAAAAAAAAGCCAAATAATGGCTGTGAAATGAAGTTTCTCCCTACCCGTACAAAAACAATTATCGACTTCCTGTCTTGATATAAACTCTTGAACGGGATGGCCGTTCCGTGGCGGTCGTAAATGAAACAATCGTCCACGTCTCGGAGGTCCACGTTGACCTGAGGAGATTCACACTCCAGAATAGTCCCGCTCTCGATTTGTCGAGTTATGGGTGACTTCAGTTCTGCCATTTTTTTTTCTTAGAGCTATTTTTAGACGTTCGGCTCAAGCTGGAAAGCCACACCCAACTCCATATACGTCACTCACTGGAGTTTTAAAATTTTTTTATGTCCTTATTCTTTGTTGTTTATGGAAAGCATGTGAATTTGATTGCTGTTTTCTTTTATTATAAACAGCGAGGATAAGCGGTTTGGGAAATGGATGGATGGATGGAAAATTAAATATAAAATAAATTAATACAAAGGTAACATAAAAGTTGTGGTTGATTTACCATTTCAATTAAAATATGTATGTAATACATATAATGTATTCGTGTATTTTGGTGGATGGGTCACTTTTGGTCGGTCTCCTATGGCCCCCTCGTCGGAATGGGACTGGGTGGACCCCCGGAAACAGGGCACATTAAAGGTAAAACGAATTAAAATCATTCACACACTCACAATCTAGAAACTTCAAAGAACCCAACATGCATGTTTGTGGAATTTTGCGTTACTATGCTTTGACGTTTTGATCGTAGGAACATAGGAAGGCCTGAGTTGAATTTCGAATCTCGACCTCAGAAATGCGAGGCAGACGTTCGAAACACTCACTCGCTGTGCGTCTGCCTGGCAATGGAGTAACAAAAAAAAAACAACATCTGATTTTGTTCAGGAATTTCATAGTGATGCGACTCTGCCTGTCCGTTGCACGTACCATCCTCTTCGGCTTCCGTACGTTGCCACCACGGTGCGGAAGTCGTACTAAGGAGCACAGCCAGAGCTGCCACTGTTTAGTGTTGGCCTAACTGGGCTTTTCCGCGTCCTTGTTTCTACCGACGAGGCCGTGTCAGCATTCATCTCGACCGGCCCGAAGAAGACTATTATGTGAGCTTTGCGGTCAAGTGTGTGAGCACCGTGCAAACTGGTGAGAGATGTCTCCCGTTCTTGCTAAAGCTAGTTTTTAGCATCCGAAGATGGAGCGACCGAATCTATCAGGATAGCTCTTAGTCGCCTCTTTATCACCCATTAAAGCTTGCAAAGATAGAGAAAATGTCACCAGCCGAGTTATTGTTGAGATCCCAAATACTTGATCACCAGTATAGTGTCGCTTTGTTTGTAGGTATGCCTCATTTGACCACCTGTCCTCTTGTTTACACCTTTATGTTTCATTCGGTAGCCACTATGTGACCATTTCTTTGCCAAACTGTAGTATGGAAATGTGGTTGTATATTCGAGTCAAATGATTGTATTTATTTCAAGTTGGGACATGGGCTCGTCGACTTAAACGTTAGGTAGACTGCAAGGTGCAACGAAATACTTGATGAAACGTTTTCCCTTTACAAAGACAGTTAATGCCCACTTTGGTGTGCACCGGCGTATTACTTTATATGTGCTTGTTATTGTTGTTTACATACAGCTGCACACTGATAGGTGTTTCTAATACTGGGGTTCTAATACTTGTGGTTAGCATGTGTGCCTCACTGTTCTGAGGTTCAAGGTTTTGGTTCTCACGTTAGGGCTTCCTTTGGTGGGTCGTTTTGACTGTGAACTCAAATAAATGTATGCCTCACATATTAAACGCAAAAACCAAATTGATGAATAACTAGTTTTGAAATCAGAGGCCAGCGGCTCCTCTTGTTTTATGTTGAGAGGTAAGAAATGTCATCTGTGCTGTACATACAGCACATTTGACAAAGTTGTATTCAATTCAATTAAATTCAATAAAAACTGTTTGCTGAAATATAGATATAGATGTATCGAGATATAATAGATTCATTTTAAAAGAGGGATTGGAAACAAATGCTGGCAATATCTACAATCTCTACATTTTTTTTAAAAGAGAGGACAATTTGCAATTTTGGTATTTTAGTTTGAAGTTGATGGGCTGGATATGGCCCTGGTCTTGACTTTGACACCTGCTGGGTAGGCAGAATTTAGCGATACATTGTAGGATTTTCCTTATATGCCTTTTTTTAAAAAAAAATCAGTCATGCAAGTTCTTTTTTTCCCCCTGGCTCCAATTGCTATAATTGTCTGCGAAGTATGTAATTCATTGTTCTTTAATGCTTTCTTGATACATTTTATATGATACTTAGATTCTAATTAATACCCTAGGAACTCTCTCCTATATCGGGTAAAGATGTTCAATTTACAATGATCTGATTAAAGAAACATAATATACATTCAAACAATCAAAATCAGCACAGCCCTCATCTTTTCTAAGTGCCCTGTGATTGTCTGGCGACCAGGTCAGAGTGTACCTTGCCTCAGGCTCAAAGCCAGCAGGACTAGGCTCCACCTTACCTCTGACCCTACTGAACACAAACAATTTGAGAAAATGGATGGGAGGTTCCACTGTATTTCAACATTGACCTCATTGCGTTACCCTTGAAGTATTTGCGCGTCTACTGATGTGGTCATCAGTATTTGAAATGAAACCTATTCTCCCTGAATACCTTCCAGAGTTTTCTCGAGTCATCTATATGGGCCATCTTCTCTCCAAAAATGGTTACCGTCTGAAGAAAAAGACACATAAGCAGCATCACCGGAAGAAGAAGAAGAGGAACTGCTTCCTGCAGGGGCCTTGCATGCTGTGCTTCATTATCCATAGTAGCAGCAGCAGCAGCGGCGGCAGCGGTTTCAACGAAGACAGCGACCCCCTGGAGGCCGGCGTCAACGGCAGCGGGTGCTGTCACAACAGCCTCACCGGCATCACTGTCACGGGCGTCAGCGCAGTCGGAATCAACGCAGCGGCAGCTGCCTCCAAACTCGCCGAGCGATACGTCACGCTCGCATCTCCCGAGGACTGCTCCAAGTTCCTGCTCTCTCCGCCAGAGTTGGCTATTTGGGAAGGGACAGGGAGGAGCCTGTTGTCAGCTGTCCCGGCGAAACTCATTCCACCGCCGGCTCTTTTTCGGACTGCTGGTGTGTCTGTGACTGTGCCCATTCCTGTGCCTGTACCCGGCTGCACCAGTAACTACGCCGAGATGGTAAGCAGCTGATGAAATGTCAATCGAGGGCGAAGCCAAAATGGCCTAAAATTATATTAAATATTAAGTTATGTTACAAAATGCACTATAAATCGATCCTGTTCTTGAAATGTATTTATTTACTTATTCTTTTAGCTTAGCATTACTGTTGGCACGCAACTCAAAAGGAGCATTTCGTGTCTCGCTATTCACATTTATGTCTCTTATTTAATCCGGTGAGTTCTTGTCATGTAGTACAGGTACTTGTGCGTGTTACTCAAACATGCTGTTCTTGGTACAGTACACAGCGTTTTTTTTGTCTAGCTGTTATCTATGGTATCCAATCATAATGGAGGTAACAAAAAGATGCGCGCAAACATCGCTTCTCATGAACATCTCAAGCTACACTCCGTTATCCCCTCCTTCAGGGATCTCATTGAACCGCTGTCTTACGTTTTACTCATGCGATCGGTGTGTGTCCCCCTACATGTAGGTGTGTAAGAGGAAGTGTTCCGAGGTCCAGAGGTGCACGCCTTGCAACAAGCAGCCACGCTGTGCCTTTTCTGCCCCCGATGGTAGCATCGAAAACGGAGGAGTGGGCGGAAGCGTCGGGGAGGCTTCCTCGAACACCCAAACTGGCCCCTGCCACCTTCCCATCTGCCAGTTGCCCTCTTCCTCCTCCTCTTCTCTATCCTCCTCCTCTTCCTCAACAGCGGCCGACGGCTGCTGTGGGTCGGCTCTTCAGGTGGATCTTCCCCACAGCTCGGACTTGTCCCCCGCCAGCCTGCAGCACTATGACGACTGCCAGACCAGAGGCTCTGACGCTGCTGATCCTTTAAGTATCAACCACTTGCCTTCTTCCATCCTTCTTAAGGTCACCAGTCATGCAAAGTTTGGCTATTATTTTTTCAAGGTGCATTTCCATCTTTAACTACCTTGTTTCTCATCACAGGTTCTCTCCCATTTGACGGTGAAGGAGCGTTGCTTGTGTGCCTCTTTGGTCTGCAAGTACTGGAGGGACCTCTGCTTGGACTTCCAGTTCTGGAAGCAAATCGACCTCAGTGGCCTACAACAAGTAAGTCCACATAGAGAGAGAGGATATACAGTTTTGCATACAACAAGTCTTTTTTTCCTTTCCACCAGGGGAAGTAATATAAAGTGAATTAACATTGAACCACCACTCTTTGCGGAGGATAGGGACCAAGCCTTGCCACGAATGCTTAAAATCTGCCAGTAATTGATGCCCTCTGCCAAAAGGCATTTATAATTGCTTACAGATGCCACAAGATGGGGGCACAGCACTTAAACTCTGAAAGGATAATGGAAAAAGCGTTGTACGATTTCTCTCGGAGTTCAAATGTTCACAGCGGCAAACTAAAGGAGTCTGACATTCCATTTGTATTGATTGACTGACTGTAGTCTGTAACTACACGAGTAATCAGCAAAGCGTCACCCCATGCATACAGGATGTGCACAGTCATGAACTCATACTACGTAAATAAATGTCTGTAATGTATGACAAGCCACCTTCGCACGAGTCTCATCAGTGCACACTCACCTAAATAACACGCATACAACCTGACAAGTCATCACACATTGGCAAACAAATTCTGCACGCCTCCATTTTGCATTTTCCACAAACAAGTCATTAACCTCACCTTTTGACATTTACACACAATAATAAATGTGTGGGAGTGGAAAAAAAAATTGTAATTACAAATTAGACTACACTGGCTTTTAGTAGCTTCATCGAAGCAAAAACAAACTTTGCTCTTTGACTTTTACCTCATGTGAGAGGCATTCAAGGACCACCAACAAAACCGCATCTCAAACGCAAACTTAAAAAAAACATCATCGAGTTAAACAGAACAACACCACCCAGATGCCACAAGATGGTGACATGGTCATAGTTTCTATTGCTTAAGCACAAAAAAACCCATCAACAACAAAAAAAACAGACTTGATGAGGGTTTTCAGTGAATAACAGAAGACGGGTTAACAATCTGGAAATCCTACCCTGTCTTTCCAGGTAAATGATGAACTCTTGACGAAAATAGCCTCTCGAAGGCAGAATGTGACCGAGATAAACATCTCGGACTGCAGGGGGGTCCACGACCACGGAGTGTTCTCCCTGGCCTCTCAGTGTCCCGGCCTGCAGAAGTACACAGCGTACAGGTGCAAGCAGCTGGGGGACATATCCCTGGCTGCCTTGGCGGCACACTGTCCTCAGTTGGTGAAAGTTCATGTGGGAAACCAGGACAGACTGACAGACAGGGCGCTCATAAAGGTATTCATCTGGAGATATTCTCGCCCTTAATGTTGAAAAAGCGAAGCCTCTTAACAATATTTCCATTCTGTTTTCCACCAGCTCGGAGAGTGCTGCAGTGAGCTGAAGGATATTCACCTGGGCCAGTGTTACGGTATCAGCGATGAAGGCATGGTGGCTTTGGCCAAAGGATGCCCCCAACTACAGAGATTGTACTTGCAGGAGAACAAACTGGTCAGTCCTGTCGGTTATCTGAATGCTGTTTTTGCTGCTTCAGTTCTCAGCATGCACGGAGAGGAGGCACAGTCTGTTTTTCTCCATGTCGTCATGGTTTTCTGTCATAATGGATGTCCTCGGATGTCCTCCCTTGCGCTGAACGCTATTTAAATGTTGCTTTGTTTGTTTCTGCTGGGCTTTTGGATCATTTATTTTTTTTTGGTCACAGCGCTATTTTCATCTTTGAGGTCACAGGCAGCATATTTGATATGCTTTAGAGCAGCAGGGATTTTTTTTCTTTTTTGGGGGGGAAAAAACAATTTTTCATCGACCCGCTGGGTTGGGACCAGAGCTTGGAATTATTGATCTTGCTTTTCTCATTACACGGATTTAGACTTTACAAAACAAAACAAAAAGTTTTATTCATTTTTTTTCCTGAAACTCACCTTAATGATTTGACAATGTTATGATACATTCTGTCGTTAAAGAAAATGTATATTTCTGATTACATAAAGGTTTGATATACAACAGGGTTTTAGGCACACATCCCATATAAAACAATTGAGGAAAAAAATACATTCAAGTATAATGGCAGTACTTTATATCAATATACATAGAATATGCGCGTGTAGCTTTTTTTCTTCTTTTTTTTAATATTGCCATTAACATAATATTAATAATATATTGCTACTGCTACAACTGAGAAATATTTTAGGCACTCATCCCATATAAAACAATGCACAAGAAATTTATCCATCCATCCACTGCTTATCCTCAATATGAAGTGTGCTGTTCTTCAATTTACCACTCGATGGGGCTATTCGACTCTTTTCTCAAAAAAAAAAAAAAATCTCGGCCATTTTCATCCCTCCCCCTTGTCACAGAATGTATTCATAGCAGCGCAGTGGAGAGTTGAGTGTTGCTTTGCCAAACGGCTATCACGAAACCTCTTTTATTGGTCATTTGGCTTCTTGTCTCCGGCCTCTCGCATAGAAACAGAATATAACCGCTCATTTGTCATGTCGGCTCCCAAATCCCTTTAATTTGTCTCTTCCGTCCAAACTAAAACCATGAAGATCTTGATGAATTAGCCCACTCACGATTGTTAACAATAGCTCAGTTTGTTAAAAGGCCATTCATCAACTTAATTGTACAGCATATTAGGGATAGCCTCTTGCTGAGAGATGAATATTGCTTCTATTAACATCTCAGCTCAGCAGTATGCGCCGCAGACGGTTTTCAGATGTGAGCTTGTGGCCGTCATTCTTTTTGAGTTTAGATAAGAAGTCCGAGTGGGAATTATTATGTCTAGGCTCCCTGACTCCTCAGACAGGTTATACTGTCCCAGACCTTTAAAACAATTCAAAGTAACCAGAGGAACCTTAAATGAGATCATCTTCTTGACGTGATCTGCTTTTAATATGGATGGTGTGCCTTTACAATACTCTCCCCTTTCGCTTCCTCTCAACTTGATTAAGCAAAGCGCCACAGGATGTTTTCCGTGTGGTCTCTTAATCCTGTCTTCCCTTCTCCGTTGCCGTTCTTCTCTTTTCCTCTTATCGTGTTTGCGGGTTTTCTTTTCCACGCCGGAGGCTCTTCTTTTTGTGTTAGTAGCGCGTCCAGTTCTTTTGCTCATGTATCCTTCAAGAAATACTCCCAACCGCTAATAGCGGCGCTCCCCCTATAATCACTGGTCATATCATTAGGGACACCTGTACTGGATTTAATGTATAACTTGATGAGGGAGTTTTCCCCATCCCCAAACATGCATGGCAGCTTGCTTTGAATGCGAGTGTGACTGGTTGGTTGTTTATATGTGCCCTGCGATTGAACTAATTGAAATAATCTTCCAGCATCAACATCAGACGAAAATAAAATGGCCGTGGATGAGAATAGCGGTGAGACTCTCAAGCTTCGTCTATTCCAATCGCTGCTCGTCTTCAAAGTATTCCTGCTAGCGGGATCAACAACACGCGTTGCTTTACGTCACTGCGTCGTAACACTTGTTGCAGCGCAGCATCCAGCTGGATCCGCAAATACGATAACAACACAATGAACAGTGAAAAAGAGAAATGCTTAATTCTTGGGCACTTGACTTACAATATGCTCTGTGGAACACAAGGTGGCTCGTTGACAAGAAAAAAAACATGCACAAGGCTAGCACTACTTACAACTACATTCAGCGAAATGGTGAGTTGGATTTTGAATCATTTTATTTTGATATGTTTATATGGCAGTCAAGTTGAAATTTTTAAAAGTTTGGGGACCGTTGTACTCTGCTGTGACGTCATGGAGTAAGCGACTTTCACTCGACTTTCATCACGCTGTAGTTGACTACCAAAAAATCTTGAGCCATTCAACCACGACTGACCAAGTCGTGGTAGAGATTCACTCAAAGTTAGCTGCGATTGGCTCGAGCTCACCCACTTTGCTAATCCGGACAAGTGACAAAAGAAATGAATGATTGGAAGTGGAGGTTGTTGCATGTTGATTTTTTTTTTCCAATCTTAATTATAATTGAATTGTCACGTTCGTGTTGTCTCCGCGTTCCGTTGATGGTTAACAAAGTGACACACAAACTCTTGAGTTGAGAGTGATGCATTGTTAGGGAAGCTGGTGGCTCTCTGGTGTCTCAAATCCTCCTTTTGGCAGCGTCCCTGCATTCCTGATTGCTGCTCATCCACTATTTATGTCACACTTGCTTTTATGCCACCGGTTGCCTTTCAAGTCTTGTTTTCCCTCCTCTGAAGTGAGTGTTTCGCCCTCTCTCTTGCCCATTCTTATTCTGTTGTCTCCCATCACCTGGAAGGGCAAAGGCTCCGAGAATAACAAATTCCTTTTTCATCAGTGTACTACCGGAGTGCTTGAGGACAGACAAAAATGAAACTTTTGGCGGATGAACTAAAACCTGCTCCAATTTAACCGCCATTCTGTGTTGACAATTTTACCCTTGCTCTTGCTGTTCCTTTTCAATTAAACGGCCTTTGAAATCCGTGGACGTTTTTGCCCAGGAAGCACTTTTCATTTTTGAACGCTCTCTTAACTGTGCTTTATCTGCCCTCCTGTCTTGTTAAAATCACAGAGCGTGTGCTTCATTTTCTTGTAGTTGGATTGAAAGAATTTACACACACACACACACACACACACACACACACACACACACACACACACACACACACACACAGAGAGATTATATACATTTTTAATCA